AATATCTATCTTATACATTTATTGTGAAGGTAAAATGACCTAATATTTGTAAAGTATTCAGAGTGATGCCTGGCACAAAATTAGTGACATATAAATGTTATTATTGCTATTATTATTATTATTATTATTCCAGAAACACTTATGTTTAATAAAGGAGCCACATTTCTATAATGCACATTCGAATGCTCAGCACTAATTTAGAAAGGAAGCACAAAATATAACAAATATACTCTTCCTCACTCCTTTTTCATGTCTTATTTAAACAGATGACTCATTAGCATTTTCTACTTTTACCTATTCTGCTCTTGGGGTGGGAATGACAAATGAAACTAATTGCCTTTCCTAAAACTAGAGTCAACATTCTGAAGTCAGATGGCAAGTCTTTGTTTTATCTTTCTGTTCTCAGAAGAACAATAGTTTCAAATAATAGTTCAAGTATTCTTAGTGAAAGCAGAGACCAGCAACTTGCCAGATGTCTCTGATTAATTTGCCTATGTTCCACCAGACATTCAGCATAATCTCGTAATTTTGCTCTGCCAGTGCTGAAGTTTGCTAAACAATGTTTACATAAACAGAAAATTTAATTTCAGTAAAAGCTCTGACCTCTGGATATGTGGTTGTCTCAGTGTTCAAGGCAGAGCTGGACATGAACAGAAATGCTATCTGAGTTCTTTCTCCCCCTCCTTTGCCACTGACATTCAGTTCTCAGCCTTGAGAAGCACTGTGTCCATGTGGCAACTCACTTGTGGCCCTCCGTATATATCAAATTCTGTGCCATTAGATGGATCAAACCTACTCTCTGTGTCCTTCTTACACATGCCTGAGCTGTGAGGATCCAGCGCTTGGTGAAACCTTGATGCAATGGGTAAGCTCTGCTCAACTCTGCTTGGAAGGAGCGAGGAAGCACCATCGTTCTTCTTACCAGTCAAGAGGCATGTCAAAATAAAGCAAACTGGTGCTCAAACTGGCCTGACTTGAGGCCTTTGATCTTTGTGGGAGGTTCTAGGAACACTGGGATGTTAGAAGGAAAGAACTGCTTTCAAAGTCAAGAATCTTAGATTCTAATCTTAGCTCTGCCACTTACTGTGGCATGTTCTGCTTCTCCCCCAGACCTGTTTCCTCACTTCTCTAATAAGTGGGGCAGCGTGAAACAACCTCTAAGGTCCTTCTAGCTCTAAAGTCTTCTGATGTTCACGATAATAAATACAAATCCAAGATCAGAGTATTTGATATACTGCTGTGCTCTGACTCATCATGATTTATGATACTTTGGTGAGGCCAAGTACCCATAATAGAAATGGGCCGTGTGCCCACATAGTTGTGTGCTTCTGAAGATTGAACATGGTCAGTAGGCACACAGCAAAGCCAAAAAGGCTATCGTATACAGCAAGTTTAATGCAGCTTAAGAGTGATTCCACATTGTGCCCACCTCAATCTGACAGGCATATTCTCATTTTATATGGCTTTGTCCTAAACTAAAACCGAACACAAGTCTTATTTTGTCTATGAAGTCTTTCCAGACTTCACTAGATCATAATTCCTATCTCAGCAGATAGAAGTTTCAGTCAAAAACACATAATGTAGAACTGTAATACCCAATATAGTAGCCATTAGACACATGTGGCTATTTAACTTTAAAATTAATTAAAATTAAAAATTCAATTCTTCAGTGGCCCTTGACATATTTTCAGGACTCAACAGCCACGTTTTGCTATGGATTCCATAGTGGACAATTCAGATCATAGAACTTTTCCACCACTACAAGAAAGTTCTATCGGATAGCACTGAGTTATTCTAGAACCTAATTTTAAAAAGCCCCTTTGAATTTTGCAAGAGACAAATTTCAAGAGTTGCCCAAAGCCAGTAGAGCATATAAATTGGTCCATATAAAGCAAGGAGGTGTAACTATGAGTACAGTTTGAGCTACCCCTTCGGGCCCTACGAGTACACTTGATGAGTCCAGGACAACAAGGCTGGCATGAGCAGGCTGCCTGGCAGTTGATGAGGTTCTCCTGCCGTTTACAACACATTTGAGCACAGGAGCCTCAGCAAACTCACACCCTACTGTGGCATGGGTTTTAGAGTTTCTGGGGAATTACTGAATCTGAATCCTCATGTTTCAAATCTAGCATTATCTCAAATGTTATTCTCTGGTTTCTGTCAGTACTTCACATCTCCTAATGTTGTTGATTGCTGGAAGGCTGAAAGTCTCCCCTCAACTCTTAAGTGTTTATTGGAGACATCCTTTTTGACAAAAAGACTGAAAAGCCTTTCTGGCTTTCTAATCCAGTGTGAAGGAGGGACTTTATTCAAAATGTAATTGACATGAATTAATAGAAACAAATTAGTCATAAATTCAGCCAGGAGACTTTATAAAAGTTCAACATATAAATCATGAGAACCTAAGAAATGGAAGGAATCATTTCGATTGGTATCTTAAATACTCTGATAAAAACTGCTTGGAAAAGTAGCCTAACTAATGGATATTGACATCATCCTTTCATCAGTGAAAGATGTTCCCATCTTTCTTAATGCTCTAACTTCTAGAAAATTGTTTCTTACAAAATATTCGATAGACTGTATAAAAGATATATAAAAATATCCAACATGTACTTATGGCTTTTCTCTAAAACTGGAACTATTTAAAAATGAAAAATGAATTGTAATATTGAGCACTTTAAAAAACTGGAAAATTTGAAATTTCTGAATCGATGATGTTAGCTATCTGTGTTTAATCAGTTATTCCAGAGGTAAGAAGAAATATATTTTGCAAGGGCAATTGCAATGAAAATTGAGTTGCAAACATCTACAAGGGAAAATGAGACACAAACAAATCAATGAAAAAAGGACGGTTCCCATATTCTAATTAATTCTCAATTTAGAACCACAAGGTTCTATAAAAGACATAGAGAATATTTGAGATGAATGATCTAGTTTGGTGTCTTCAGTACTTAATCATTAAGGAATCAGCCTGATTCTTCTTTATGACCTCAACACAGACTTATACCCATTTGGCTTCCCTTGGTTTGAGGGGAATCATTGCTAATCCTAACTCGAGAGCTATAATGTCTTTCCTCTCCTGTGTCCCACTCACTACAGAGAGGTGGTTTGGCCCAGAAATTGACTATATATAACTACTGATTTTCATTGCCTGGTTATAATAGAATTAATAAAGAAATACAAAGGAAAATGCTTATCTTGGATTGTTTGGTTACTCAACACCAAGAGAATGGTGTTTTATTTCAAGATGGACGTAAGATTTTGGAACAAAATAATTGAACCTAATCTTTGTTCAAGAGGAGAAATCTAGTAGAATATGTAGGGAGAGGGTCAAAGAAGATGAATTGCTATTAAATCTTCTCACATTTCTCCTAGATATACAAGCTCATTGCTATCTGAAAGACTTTTTGTGGGTAAATAATACATTTTGCTTATTTATAGATATATAGTAATATAATGCATAATATATGATATTGCTATGTGGGCATATATCTCTGATATATCAGAAAAGAACACTGGATGATGTTAAATTTTTGAAAAACAAGCATAATTTTATAACAATTTTTGAATTTGCATCATTAAAAAAATAATTATTACTTTTGTAAAGGGACTAAATAAGACCATTCTGAATCAACAAATAATAAAACTCTCGGTTTAAAAACACTCTTCTGAACTATAATATCATAATGCTCTTTTAGCCAAAGAGCATTATGATTAATAATCCAGCATGACTTGTTTCACTAACAAATGTCTATCATTTACTATCTGTCAAGTATTATCAATAAATTGATGAATGAAACCTCCTTTTATATCTGTTGTTAAAATTAGTTATTTATTTGTTCGATCGATGTTTTATCTTGATTTATATTACTTGTGTCAGTGAGTAAACTAAAATTTGTTTTAATTTCGGAAATCTTGCATCTTGCAAGAGAGATACAGGCTCAGCCTGGATGGTATCAAGATTTAATTTCAATTAATAAGTATTTACTCATTTAAAAATAATGCAGAGAGGTGAGACTCTTAACTCATGATGTTTTGCATCAATCTTTCCTGGTTAGGAAATTCAAACTTCAGCCAGAAAAAAAATATATAAACACACACACACACACACACACACACACACACACACACACACGAGACTGCTGTGGTAAATAATTACTTGTCCTTTTAAAAATTCTTATTTTTAAAATTAATTCTAGATTTTTAATTGTTATCTTTGCTTGAAATGCCCTTTCCATCTAGCCTACACTCCTTTTTCTACTTTGGATCTCAGTTTAAAGTCACCCCCTCAACCAGGCCACAGTGACAATCCCAATTCTGTTGCCTCTTTGCTCTTCTCTCCCCCACCCCCAATCCCAGATACCACTATACTGTTGGTTTCCATCATATCGTTTATCCCAATTAATAATTACACAATGTTTACTTGTTTCTGTGTATACTGTCTCTCCCTGACAAAGGCTCTGTGTCTATTTATTCACTGATAAATTCTTAGCATCTAACAGTGGCTGGGAGAAGTGCTCAATTTAAACTGTGGGATGAATGACTTAATTCACCTTCTTTTAAGGCTCCAGGTTATTTCTCTTTCGTGACATTCACAAACTAAGCGCTAGGAAGTGGTTTTGCTATATATAGTCATAATTCATTGTGATTCTTGTGTACTTTCAAGTCCACTCCCATAGAAAGAGGGAAGGGTAGACTTCCTAAAGCTATCTCTTCACTCTCCTAGGGTTTTCGAGATAATGAAAATGACTTTCACAAACTCAGCTCCTCAGAGGTACACGTCACAAATCAAAGACCAAGTAAAGTGTAATTCTTGCCTTAAAGAACAGTTCTCCTTAAAGAGAGACCCTTTTGCAAAACAAAACAGTTTAGAAGCCCCTCTATCCCAAAACCTGCAAGGGTTAATATGCTCTTTCTCATTGAGAAGGCTTAATAAATATCACTCCAGTGTTTCATAACAATAAAGCTATCTGAGTCAAAGGCATATGGGAACTTCCTACCTGGAGTCCTTTCTGATTCTTGCTTTCTCAAAGGAAAATTCAGGTGGTTTGTTGAGATCATAGGTCCGGGTGGTCGGCTCAGCAGACACCCCAGCCTTTGCTCCTCTCCTGCTATGGAGAGAGACCAACCCCGAGGTCTTCCGGTGGACTTCGAGAGGCACTTTGTCTGGAGAGGCCTGGAGCAGGCTTCCTCCTTGCATGTGCACCACATCCTGAAGCTTGTTCAGCTGGATGCACTTGTTCTGGAGCTCCTCCGTGAGCTCAGAGATGGCCACAGTCTGCTTCGACAGCTGCTCCCGCAGCTCCTTCAAAAGGTACTCCCGCTCCTGGATCTCAGCATCCTTCCTCCTCAGCTCTCTCTCCAGCTCTGTCACCTTGCTCCTCAGGGCATCAGTGGTGAGGTTCCCAGAGTGGCCATCTGGATGCTTAGAATGTTTGGGTTTCACTGAACCATTTCCCATTTTGCTCAAGGATCTGAGAGAGAGCACAGAATTGGGAATTACCCAACGGAGTTTCATGTCCCAATAGCCCCCAACATTCCTCTCATTCCAATCCATTTCATGAATAGAAACCTAGTGGTAATCATTGTTTGTTAAGCACTAAATTCCCCCATGCTTCTAGAAAGAAAGCTATTGATCCATTTCCTTTATCCCTCCATGAGGAGGAGTTGGCACTTGGTTTCATTGTTCCCTGTCCCTTTGCTGACACAAGTATCACACCTGAGCCTTCTGCAAAATGGCCTGTGTTGCCTGCTGTTCTCTTTGGTCATTCTCTCAGACAGATGTAAAAAGCATCATAACGGAACTGCAGTTTGGATGTCAGCATGGCAAAGATAAAACACAAATGAGCAGCTATAGCAACAGAGGCTTAGAAATGTACAACTCTCACAGCCTCCTGTGATAGGAAACCATGCCCACATTTGGAAAATAATACATCTGCATTCCTTGGGAGTTGGTGTTGCTTTATTAGTACTTTTCTCCTGCCATAGGTACCTGTTAAGTTTTGCATTTCTGATAATGCTCCCTGTTAAAAACTTCTGGATCATGGTTACTAGAAGATAAGACAGAGTAATGGGGATTCTTCTACATTCTTCACTTTATATCCTAAAGCAAGGATGTTTAAAAAACGATGACCTATGGTGCAAGGCTCCACTCTCTTCCTGTTAAGAATATCCTCAGTGTAGACCCCAAAGTGGTCATTAATCCAGTAAGTCTCAGGATGTGATACACAGATCAGTATTATAAGGGATGGCTTTAGTTGATTCAGAAACATTTTTTAGTGCAATCGCTACATATTTATTTTAACACTCATTAGAAATATAAATAATGGGCACCACAAAGTTGTAATTTCGTTGTTATTGCTTAAGTTGAGGCTAAATTAGATGTTTAGGTTTACCGAGTCAATTCAATGAAAATAGAAAACAAATCATGTGCAGATAATAAGCACATGTGAGCAAAATCAAAAAGAACTTGAAAGGAGGAAGTTGAGAAAATACCACCTTGATTATTAATTATGATATGTTTAAGTCTTTTTAGGCTACTTATTTGAACTTCATACTTTTGCATGTGCAGTTTTTGATAGCCATAATCCAAGAAGCATTATAACACTTATAAACTAAGTTTGAATTACTTCTCACTATCTAAGATCCGAAGAGATAAATTAAACATTGAAGTTATGAAACCCACACATTCTTGCCCTCTCTCCTTCCAAATTTCAGATGCAGAGATAAATGAAACACTTAGACTGATTTCACTAGCTCTGCTGGAATAATCGTGACCTCGACAACAAAGAAAAAGATGTAAAATAGCCTCTAAGTTTCAAACATATGAAATGAAATAGCCAATGCAGGTTGCCTAAGATGGATGGTACAAATAGAAAATAAATGTACTTATAAAAGTAATCTTAGATACTCAGCTATTCTTCATAGCAGTCAGGTTCAAAGTAGTCACTAAGAAATAACAGCCCCCAGAGAATTGCCTTAATATGTTGCAGAGATGTGGCAGGTTTAACCTTTAAGTATCTGTTGACTTGGCAGCATTTACTGTTCTCAAATATTAAATATCTAAAAAGGTTGAGGAGACTAGAATTCAAAGTAACCCTGGACATCCTTGCATCCTGAATAAACAATTCAGAAGACATTATACTGGGGCCTAAAAATAACCTTGAATGAGATTCTGAATGATAGGCATGAGAAGGGAGCCCCCAAAGACATCTGAAACTAATGTGTGCACAAATTTTTAAGGTGTAGCTGTGAGCCATCTTCTAGACACACATTTTTGGTTCATGGACAAGCATTCGCAAACCAAGACAGAATGGAAGGAGGGGAGTGATTGGAGGAAAAGGAATTGCCTTATAAAGAACAAAAGTGAACACAAAACTTTAAAATCTAATATTAAATTAAAAATACATTTTTTATTCTTCAAACAATTGTTTACTAACAAGTACTATTAATTGTTACAGTATCTGTCATATACTATATATATCAGGGCCTAGCTCCATGAATTGGCTTTAAAATTTGACACAGAAAACAGTTCCAGCATTCTAAATATGAAAAGGCTTAGAATCATTTTTGCTTTATGTCTGGTATTCAATACATTCAGTACCAATCCAATAATTTTACAAACTTGACACACAGTTAGGTAGAGGTTAAACTCTCCCAAAATACCAACTATTCTCTGGTTTTAATGAAGTCAGTTTGGAAGCTGTATAAATCTTTCAAGCTATTTAGAATTCCAAAGGGGGGTGAAATGAGAGTAGCCAATTCATCTTTCAAGTCATCAATTTAAGATATGTAAGTAAGTTACCGAATGGCTCAATAGTAAGTCTGATTTCTTAGTGAGTTCACCCATTTAAATTTTGTTGTCCCTCAAGCCAAGACTTCAAGTGTTTGGCTTCATAAAACCTAATTGGATTCGCTGTTTCCTGTATCATTCACTAAGACAGAAAAGCTATTTCTCAAATATGTATTGCTAGCCACAAGGAGAATTGAACCACAGGATGTTGCTCCATCAATCTAGCAACTATAAGTTATTAGAATCACTCTTATAACCAGAAGGCGGCACATAAAGTAATAAGACATGAGCTTGGAGATTAAGATCAGGATTTAACAGGAGCAATGGAGGGTAGCTATCCAGGGTAAGAAAGTAATCTGCCCTTCTCTATCTGTGTAACTTTCTATGAATTACTTAGAATACTCAGTTTTCTAATCTATATAATGGATATAATTATAACCAACTAATAGGGTTATTATGAAGATTATGTTAGCAAGGTATCCTGAGCAATGTCAGGCATGTAGTAAGCACCAAGTAGGTGTTACACTGTGTGACTAGACAAGGCATTTAGTGTCTTGATGTAAGGATATGTCCAGGGAGGATCACTGCTGGGTGGAACAGAAGTCTAGTTTACTAGACTTCTAGTTTGGAGGTCTTCCAGACAAGAAGTCTTTAAAGATGCAAATTATTCCTCTGGGGGAGGGGAGATTTTATTCTGCCTGAATTATATCTTTCATTAAGAAAAGAAGTAAGTCTGGAACAAACAGCCTGGGAAACCTTCCCAGTTAAAGGAAGCCTACCAAAAGATGAAGAGAAAGCTTCATGAATGACTCAGCCCAGGTACCAGGGCACCAAGGGCTCCTCCCTTGTAACTCCCTCGTGGAACTCTATTTGCACATATCACAGTGAACTCCTTAATCCAAAGGACCCACCTAATTATCTTTGAAGGCAACAAAACACATGGTTCACTTCAAAAATGGTATTCTGCAGCCTCAAACAGGAGGGAGGAATATAATAAGAGGTGGCATTTAGCGAAAAGAGAGGGAAACTATATAAAATTATCAATTATTATGAGAATAATCATGATTTAGGAATTGTCACATACAAGAAGTACCTAGAAAAGACTCAGGAAAAGCAAAATTTATTGTGAAGGCTCTTGCAGGAGATTAATACCTGGCAGCCAATGTGGAAAGAATTCAGCTTTGTTGTCTGTTTTTTTCTCCAGCCCTAAAGTAGTTGAAAACCAAAATCTTGGCTCTGATGTTGATAATATCTATTTCTCTCTCTACCCATCTGGAGTCTGATATAAATACACACACACACACACACACACACACACACGTCTGTAAATACAAGAGATAGAATAGTGATGGCTAAAGTTATACAGCCAGAGTCCCAATCCAAGTACTTTCACTTAGTATTTATATGTCCTTGGGCATAATATTGGGGTTGTGTCAATAACAGAAGAGAGAGATAAACATATAGATAGATCAACAGACAGATAGATAAAAGATCATTGTATATCATTTAGAGCTGTTAGAGAATTAAATGAGATAAACCATGATAAGGATTTAACACAGTGCCTGACAGATAGTGTGCATTTAATAAATACTAAATATCACTACTATTATTACTGTAACATTACTCAACAAAATAACTCATCTTAGTAGAAAAACATATTGAACAAAAAAATGTACTAGGCCAACATAATATTATAGGAGAACAAAGTCAAAGTGTTACCAGACTTCAAGATTTACTATGAAGCTGCAATAATTAAGACAGTATGGTATTGGTAAAAAAAAATAGACGAATAGGTCAATGGTATGGAATAGAGAGCCCAGAATATATACGCACACAAATACAGTCCACCGACCTTGGAAAAAGAAGAAAGGCAATTCAATAGAGAAAAGATATTCCCTTTAACAAATTGTACTGGAACAACTGGACATCTCATATGTAAGAAAAAAAAAATGAATCTAGACACAGACCTTACATCTTTCATCAAAAATTAGCTCAAATGGATTAAATACCTAAGTGTAAAACACAAAACTATAAAACGGCTAGTAGACAATAAGGGGAAAATCTAAGTGATCTCAGGTTTGGTGATATTTTAGATAGAACACCAAAAGTACAATCCATAAAAAATTGATAGGCTGGACTTCGTTAAAATTAAAAAATGTCTACTCTACAAAACACATTATTAAGAGAATGAAACAATAGCCACAGAGTGGGAGAATGTATTTACAAAACACATATCTAATAAAGGACTAGTATCCAAAGTATACAAAGAACTCAACAATAAGAAAACAAATAACCCAGCTGAAAAGGGGGAAAAAATGTAAACATACACCTCACCACAAAAGATACACATGGTAAACAAAAATATGAAAAAATGCTCAACATCATATGTCAGTAGATAATCTCAAAACAATGAGATACCACTACACACCTATTAGAATGATCAAAATCCAAAATACTGGCAACACTAAATGCTGGATGAAGCAACAGAAACCCTCATTCAGTGCTGGTGGGAATGCAACATGGTATAACCATTTTGGAAGACAGTTTGGCAGTTTCTTACAAAGCTAAATACTCATATGATCCAGTCAGTGATCATGTGCCTTGGTATTTATCCAACTGATATGAAAACATATGTCCACAGCAAAATTTGCACATGGATGTTTATAGCA